CCCCAGGCACAGTCAGGGACCGCACCCTGGGGTCCGTACTCCTAAACGGATCCTGCGCTATCCGCTTGCCCCCACCTGCACTGCACGCCGCTGCTCACCGGGACAGGGAGGAGGACAGATAACCGGCTTTCTGCCCCTGCCCATCTCCCTCCTGATCGGCTCTCCAGGCAGCACCCAGAGGGTCTCAAATGCAAATGGCGTTCATGGTACTGCCCCACCCAACGCCCTACAAAAGCTTCTCTCTGCTCCAGGATAAAGACCAGGGTCCAGATCTTGGCCAACAAGGGCCTCACACGAGGTCTCCAGCCACACCTCAGCCTCCCCTTCGCCAGCTACAGGGGTGTTCTTCCCATCACTCCTGGGGGCCAACTTCCTTTTCTAAAATGCACACTTTTTATTTCGGAGTTATTTTAGGTTTACAGAAAAACCGCACAGAAACTAGAGAGCGCCCCACACCCCTGCCAATTTCGCCCGCTGTTGGCACCTCACACGCCCACAGTGCCATCGTCAGCGTAAGAGACCCACATTGACATGTCACTGCTAACTCAACTCCAGATTTTACCCGGATGCCACCAGCTTTTCCTTTTTCTGCCCCAGAATCCCATCGGGGTCCCTCAGAGGTGACACTCACAGGTGACTTTAGCCACGTTCCCTTTATGACTCAGCATGTTTGCTGACAACATTCTCCCTTCCTGAGAAGATGGCATTTTCTTCCCCTGGCACAGCCTTCAAGTTACAGAGCAGCGGTCAGTTCTCAGTGACCTCCTGGACTGGGAGGGCGGGCAGACTGCTGGCATCGATGGCCATGATGGCTGGCCTCCCTTATCCCTGCTTCTTGCCATGTGCGTTGCAGTTCCCCCTGTCTAGGGGTGGAGTCTCTTTCCCCTGCTTGGCCCTGTGACTTGTCTCAAAAGAACCCCCACCCCCCACTTTCTCCCTTTTTCTGCCCCCAAAACAAGCCTCTGAAGGAAGATGAGGGCACATGGAGAGAGGCCCCATTGGCCCAGCCCTTCCAGTTAAGGTCACATTCAGGAATGTGCCTAGCCAACAACCCCTAGCCTCATGAGCAATAATACATGGTTGTTGCTTTAAACCATCCAGGTTTGGGACCGCTTGTTATGCAGCAATAGCTAACTGATACAGGGTCTGCATCCGTCTGGTTTACCAGTGTATCGGGACTTGCACAGAGCTCATCATCATGGTAGGTCCTCGATCAGTATTTGTTACATGGATGGGTGGTGGCTGTAGTGTGAGCATGGAGAACCCTGCCTCCCGCTGTGCAGAAACCAGGGCCAGCCCCTCCCCACCCCAGGCAGAGTCTAGTTCTTATCTTCAGATCCAGCCGCCGCCAAGCCACAGCTTTGATTTGGACCAATCCGCCTCAGTGCCTCATCTGAGCTGGTGCCTTCAGCGTTATCCTTCCAAAGTGGATTAAGCGGCCCAGAGACCCCTTTTCCCCAGACTTGAGTGGCATTGATCTGCATGCGGAATAGAAGGCCTTCGCAGATAGCAGGGCCCCGCGGGGGCCAGGGAGGAGGCCTACTCTCATCAGCTATGGGCTGCAATCAATAAACTATTAATAACGGCAAAGGTTTCTGGCGAGATCAGTGTAATGCAGGTTAGTGGCTGGAGTTTACCAACACTGACAGCGGCTCTGAAGGGTGAGTAATTGTGGTTTTGAAAAGCTGGGCTCAGAGATGGTGGGGGCCCCATTGGCTCGCCTCGTGGCCCCTGTGGCTCAGCTGAGGCCATGCAAGGGCTGGTCACGGGGGCTTCTGCCAGGCCTGGGGCCAGGGCTGCGGGCTGCCCACCCTCGGCACAGCATGTCTGCCTACTAGGTGCTGTGCCCCATACTGAGCCTTGGTGGAGGTGGATGCATAGCTACCGAGGATGTGACTCCTGCCTCCATGCCTTTTCCCAGGCTGTTACCTCTGCTTGGACCACTTTTCCTTCTGTCTACCTGGCATGCCTCTAGCCATCTTTTCAAAGCCTATCTCTGACCCCAC